ATAAATGTGCTTTCTCAGTATTAAGGTGCGTTGACTTTGTAATTATTTATTAATCATACGAACGTTTTTAACCTTTAACCAATGTTATTTATCTATTATATTATTTTGCTTGTTTACTTAATTTTATTTCAACATATGTTCTAATATAATTTAAATTTGAACGTGTTCCAAAAATTATTAATTCGAACGTCTTTAACCTGATGATGACCCATGAAATGGGTTGAAAACGTTTGTTTAGCTGAATAAATATGCTTTCTCAGTATTAAGGTGCGTTGACTTTGTAATTATTTATTAATCATACGAACGTTTTTAACCTTTAACCAATGTTATTTATCTATTATATTATTTTGTTATTAAATTATATATATATATATTACTGTAATTCATATATTTTGGATTCAAATAGCTCGATATTCCAAAGAATTTTATATTTTAAACGTGTTTTTAACTGTTTTATACAAAAAAAAAACAGTTATAAATATTCCTTGATTTTTAAAAACTTGAAGATGGCCTGTAGTTCAGGTTGATGACCATTACGGTTAATAAATAATTCTCAGTGAAATAAGGTGTTTTTCAGTGGGTTAAAAAGCATCTTACTGGGTAATAATTAAGTATTTTATGTTATAATAAAGTGTTTATATTTTTTTCAACTCATAGTATAAATTGTACAGGAAGTATGTTCTCAAAAATATCGCTTTTATAGAAAAATAATTGAAATGCAATTTGAAAAAATTGTAGACCTATAAATTTTTTAACTGTTGTACTGTACACTACGTCTGTATGTTTGTTGCCCGTCCTTCTCCAATCTCGAAAACAGAGTCAGCTAGATACAAGACGTAAACAGATATAGAACTTGCAAAAGAAGTACACCCAGATAAACTATACATTCATGTCAGATATTGAATGGGTGTCACGTCACTTCAATTCAAATATTTTTCCTGAACAGAGATAGATAACCGGCACGACTCTATTGTTATCAGGAAAAGCATGATGTACTGCAGCAATACCACCGTGAAAAAAATTCAGAACATTGTGACGAAAAGTTGCAGCCCGGCATTGTGACAACGTCGCAATAAATAATCGGCCCTTAGAATTAGTTTGGTTTATTTGGTTACTGCAACGCGACACGCGAGCGATCTGCAGGGAGCTTGCATCTTAGGAAGAATATTATGGAAAGCTGGACCCTATTTAGCGAAGAAAACCCGGAAAACTCCACGTGGCCAGCATATTTGCAATGCCTGAATCCACTACAATGTTCGGTGGTTTTATACATTCGGCTACCAGAGGGCGCTTATTAGAATTAAGAAAGTACCATTCAGAAATAAAAAAACCCGAGTCGTTAGACGTGTAAAGTTAAATTCTTATAGATTTTTTACAGAATAACATTTTCGATTCACGAAGACAATTGCTACATGCTGCATGTCGCAATAATTACAGAGCGCGTCTATTTCGCGCTATATCATTATCGCAGAAATTAAGTGAATATAATTTATATATTTTAAAGTTGTATATTTTTTAAATAAGAATTATATTTTGTTTATTATTTTGTTAAAGTTTTGCTAATACATGGCGCTACGTGTAAATCAGAATTTCTAGTGTAGTTAGAAATTAAATAATTTACAGAAATTTACAGATATTTTGCTGTGGGATGTATGTCATTATTTCGGTTATAAATATATAGACATAACTGCCAAATTTCGTAGAAATTAATCGTACGCTCTAAGAGTGTATAGCGAACAAACAAACAAAGAAACATTCTCATTTATATATACTGTATATAGATTACATGAAGTATCATCGCATCGGAAATATTAATCGGCATGCGTAAATAATCGAAAACGCTATTTGACAATACGAAAATTGACCAGGAAAATTAATATTTACAAACAAATTAAAAACTGAATATTTTTGATTTATGCCGAGAATGGCCGATGAGGATCGTTCTTGTCCATACAACGCCCTTTGTCCATACAACGCCCTGCGTGTCCNTGGATACGGCTCGGTGCCAGAGTTTTGGCAAAATGGATCTCAAGTAAACGATTTTGGATATCGTCCAGAATCAGAAACCACTAATTATAGGCCGTATCCTGAAGTGAATCAGTACGGACGGCCTTCAGAAACAAATAATTGTTATTGGTCGTATCCTCAAGCGAACGAATATGGAAGGCCTCCAGAAACAACTGATTATAGGCCATATCCTGAAATAAATCAATATGGACGGCCATCAGAAACAACTGATTACAGGCCATACACTGAAGTGAATGAGTACGGACGGCCTTCAGAAACAAATAATTGTTATTGGTCGTATCCTCAAGCGAACGAATGTGGACGGCCTTTAGAAACAACTGATTATAGGCCATATACTGAATTAAATGAAAATGNATAATTTATATATTTTAAAGTTGTATATTTTTTAAATAAGAATTATATTTTGTTTATTATTTTGTTAAAGTTTTGCTAATACATGGCGCTACGTGTAAATCAGAATTTCTAGTGTAGTTAGAAATTAAATAATTTACAGAAATTTACAGATATTTTGCTGTGGGATGTATGTCATTATTTCGGTTATAAATATATAGACATAACTGCCAAATTTCGTAGAAATTAATCGTACGCTCTAAGAGTGTATAGCGAACAAACAAACAAAGAAACATTCTCATTTATATATACTGTATATAGATTACATGAAGTATCATCGCATCGGAAATATTAATCGGCATGCGTAAATAATCGAAAACGCTATTTGACAATACGAAAATTGACCAGGAAAATTAATATTTACAAACAAATTAAAAACTGAATATTTTTGATTTATGCCGAGAATGGCCGATGAGGATCGTTCTTGTCCATACAACGCCCTTTGTCCATACAACGCCCTGCGTGTCCATACAACGCAAACCCCGCAATGAGGTTTGCGTTTCAAATGAATTTCACGCAAACCTCATTGCGTCCACGTAACTGGCCGAGCTCGGGAACATGGTAATCTCAGAGTGCAGTACCCTCACCCAATGGTTTTGTCTTTCTGTATTTGAAATTATTACTAAGTGTACTTCGGCAATCTAAATACACTTCCAATTAATGCACCTGTCTGTTAACGACCTTCCGACAGACTCAAATTTAGTTAATACTATTCGTTTAAATTTGCGACCATGAAAGGACTTGCTTTGCAAATGAACTAATTTCTTTACTTTTATCAAAGACATTATTCGCTAGAGATCATTCGATATGTCACACTATTAGAATGAATGGCAAGCCAATTATAAGAAATCGATAAATTTCCGAAATATTATATTACCAGTAAAAGGTTCGATACATTTGGTAGGTTTTCAAACCGCCGATTGTAATTACATTCTCGTCTGTTATCGATTATATAAATAAGAAAAGTATGATGATTGGTCAAATTTTAAACTCGCCCCATTTTTTTTTCGCTCCACATAACGATGATAGTAAAATATTCAGATTAGAAAAATTTATTTTCTCCTATAGAAATTTATAATAACCAACAGTTTTCTAATGCATGTGTAAGATGAATAGATGAATATCTTCATTGTAGATCTCATTAATAAATTACACGCTGCTAAACATGTAATTATTTTATTTGAACATTCCATAAGCAATCACTAATATTATAGTTTAAGTTTGATGTTTGTATTTTACTTTATTAGGAAAAATTAATATCTGTATTCTTTCAAACTAAATTCTCAAAATTTTCTGCATCGAATTTATTCCGAGCTATTAACTTATTATCGCAACCGCTGCCAGAAGCACCGCTTGGTTTTGTATTGTTACGTTAAGAAGAAATGTTAATAATATAATTGTAACAATTGTCAAAGCGAGTTCTTTGTTTGAAACGATTGTTGCTAGACGCAAAGTTTTTCGAAGCGATATAAATTTGATAAAATGAGTTATCAAAGTAAGTTAAATTATCTAATTATGTACATAATTACATTCATTAGTTTACAGCAGTGTTTCTCAACCTGTAACGAACCGTCGCCCCCTTCAACGTAGTATTACCCCCTTCAATAAAACCGTTACGTAATATCGCCCCCTTTACTTCAAAATTCCACGGGCCAAGGCTAACGCCAAATTCATACTGCATTGAATAGAATAGTGACTAGTATAATGTTATTTGTTTAATTATTGTACGATATAACGAATAAAATACCTAATTATTCTTAATATAATGTTTTACTATATCGCCCAAAAATTGTTTTTCGACCCCAAAATATAAATTGTTACAAATCGCCCCCTCAACATGGAAAAACGCCCACATGGGGGCGATATCGCACCCGTTGAGAAACACTGGTTTACAGCATGTTCATTATATGAATATAAACAGTGTTTTTATCATAATGTTTTAACAAAAAGGTGAAAACATAAATGAAATTTTTATATACAAAATTATGATGAAAATCGCTGCTATTGTGTCTCCTTTCAAAGAAATTTTTAAAGGGGGAATTTCATTAATAACAATTAGGTCATAAATCAAGCTCTTGTTTCTCTTCAAAAGAAAATGAGGCGATGCTCTCTTTTCTTTTTATTGATGCAAGTATATTTAATTAAAAAAATATTTAAATAATTACTCAAACAAATTTTTCAAAATATAATGTAAAATACTAAAAAACAAGTTATCAAGAATTTGTTACCCGAATTGCATCTGTTTTATTTATAATTGAATGTCTTAAGCGAAAAACGTTATAAGTTACACCAAGAAACATTTAACAAATATCATATTAGAACAAATTAGAAATTAATATGCTTGTAAATAAAAAAGAATTTTGCTATAGACTGGCTTTTTATTATCAAACATTTCAATTTCGAGACTTATTTACAGATTTAAATGTGGCATTTCTTAAATTTTTCTTTATGTGGCTTATAACCTTTTTCACCCAAATAGGTGTGTTATTAGCCTGTTAGATATATGAATTAATAAATAATAATGAAATGTTTGTTCACAGGTTTTCGGTGTTTAAATATTGTAAGAGTTTCGTCATTTGAAAATGACTTTACTTTTGTGTATGCTTATGAGGTGAGTGTATCAGGAAATTAAAATCTATGTCTCAGATAATGTAAGAATAAATAATGTTTAGATACAATATAAACTCAATTAGTTTGTTAGGTAAGACAAAAATGTAGATGTAACCAATACTTAATAAGCACCTTAAGTTTACTTTCCATTTTAATTTTGTGCTAATTTAAAAAATAATAATAATAATAAATAAAATAATAATAATATTAAGCTTATTGTAATAACGATGCAATGGAAAGTTGACAGAACAAACATTTAATAATTTCTAAAACTATATCACACTAATAAATCAAACGAAACTAATTTCTTACACACGTCTTTATGCTTCACGGAGACATTACTTACGAAACAAAACCAACGAACTTCAAAGTATTTAATTTAGTATCTACAATTTTATATTATTTGGAAATCTAATGCACGTATGTTATATTTTAGTAATTACATTATGGAGTTTTAGTTTTCGGTAACGTGCAGAATCTTCAGATATTCTTGGCAACAGTAAAAAGTTATAATTATTATGTATATTTTAACATTTTATCAAAGTATTGATGAGGAATGTTATAAAAGAAATCCACAAAATACTACAATATATTGTAAAATTATGAATTCAAAAAAAAAACAATTTAAAACAAATTTAACTTAATTAATACATTTGAACGAATTTTCATATAAATTTAAACTTTCGATCAACGAAAAAAGACCAATTGTCAATTGTGAATAGTGTTACAATACTGAAACTTATCGATATTTTTACTGACTTGGTTAAATGTTCTACTAGAAAAACAGAAGAAAAAAATAATGCTAATGTGTAAGCTACTGTAATTTTGTACANTCCGACACTTTTTCTCACTTTGTAATAGTCCTGAGAAACATACTATAAATTACAGTAATACCCCGAACTTACGCGATAGGTGGGACCGAGCGATAATCGCGTAAGTCGGGGTATAATTCTGCAATTTATGGAAAATCCAAGTCGGTTGTATATAAGCTAATAAATGTTCTCGTTAATCTTATCTCGTCTTTTGATTCGTTCACGGTTACAAGAAATAACCACATAGAGTCTCTCGAGTCTCCGTAGATATAACAAACACAGAAATAAATAACACAAAATAAATTGTAGCTATGCGTCGATTCCGCGCGACACATCCGAACATGTAAGCTGAACAATAGTGTGGGGGGAGTGAGTAATCAAGAGTTGCGTGGCGCTCAAACAAAAGACGAATCGACGAGATTTGAAAATCGCGTAACTCTGGGTTCGCGTAAGTCAGGGTAGCGTAAGTCGAGGTATTACTGTATTTCTGATTAGTGCCATTTTTATAATTCAAAAATCACTACCTTTCGGTAGATATGAATGCCCTAATAATGGAAGTATACGATCAATGAGATCTACAATTAACTGAAGGCTAACTTAAAATTTTTTTTGTTTTGTATACTCACGTTTGATTTCTATAGTAACGAAGTAATGCAAATTTAAGGGTACCTGTCACCATTTCACACATAGCACATTACGTGTCAATTATATCAATATATTTTAAAAAACGAATATACACCACTTTCTTTTGAAAAGCCTCATATTTATGTTATTGTCAATAACTAAAGTAAAAAAATAAACAAGTTAGGTTTATTTACAAGTTAATTTTTTAACTTTATGTAATTACACATTATATTATGAAACACATTTATTGTAAATAAGTTTCATGAAAATAATTTAATTTTTTTTAATAAAATAACTTCTTTTAAATATTATAGATAAAAGATAGGATTTATATGTACAATTTAAATATTAATGAATTTTACGCTTGTTATTTTAGTATAGAATACGAGTTCCATATGATGCCTTCTGGAGAGAAATGTTTGGATACGGCTCGGTGCCAGAGTTTTGGCAAAATGGATCTCAAGTAAACGATTTTGGATATCGTCCAGAATCAGAAACCACTAATTATAGGCCGTATCCTGAAGT